CTTCTTTTAATTATTAAGGAATTCTTGCACAGCACAATATATATTAGTAAAACGTTTGGTTCTGTCGTACCTTATAGCATAGGACATTTCTGTTATATAAACTTACTCATGATTTAGCCAAAATGAGTGACTATTTCCCTCAATAACTTTAACTCAGGTGGCAGTTTTTTTAACTAAATCATTTCTAATTATCAAATTCACTCAGTTGAACAAAATAGCCTGTCTTACTGTATGCCAAACTACCAATTTAAATTTCGTCATGAAAGTTGTTTGCAGGACTGTAAATGAAACCACAAACAAGAAAAGCCTGGGTAGAGTTACCTTTAGCTACCATTTATGATGTGTATAACTACGGTTTAAAAACTGACCTAGGTGTTCCCACATTTCACTTGCATTTGTGTTTAAGGGAAAAGTACTGAAAGCCAACGAACGAGAAGAGAGATATTTGGCGGTCATGCGGGAACTGGTTAATCGCTACTTGGTACAGAAGCAAATGTCATCCAATGGTCAAGGTGTTACGGAAGACGACCTTAATGAAATCAAGGGAGATATTAGCGCATTTCGTTTCGAACTCCTCGATATACTGCAAGCAAACGGAATGAAAATCAATCCAGACGAGCTCGTTAAAAAGGGTCTGACTCTTTTATAATTGGTTATTCCTGAACTATTTCTTTACATATTGTTCTACTTTAATCCATAAGGGTTAGAACTCAAGATATTTATCTTCATGGTAGAGTTTAGATTTCCCCTCATTCATGCGCGTACTTCAGATTTAATGCTACCCGGAAATGCGTTATACTCACTGTAGAAACGTTGATTGCAAAATACTTCGTTTAGGCGTCTTGTTGTAAAAATTATTTCTGGCAAATATCATGACATAACTGAGAACGCATCCACCTTAAATATCAAAGCTTGGATAATTTGCAAAAAGTCTACTTGATGTGGTCATACCAGAGGCGTTTGACTTCCGACAAATCTTGATAGTGCTATTTTCTATCATGCTATGGTTAAATCATTGAAAAGGTAATGGCCTTTACCAGCGTCGTATAGCTACACTTGTATACCTTCGACCGAGCGAGATAAAACACGTATAAGACAGTAAGCTCCAAAGAGAGCCACTGTCTGCATTCTAGTTCCGAAATAGGGAAGAATATACTATGGCCATTACTTAAAACGGATTCAGTACTAATCTTTCTGCGACATAATGTTAGCCGAACCCTCTGCTTGATAGTAAGGTAACTGCCTAGTGGCCGAACACGACAAGATGGATTGCATACTTTAAATTATGTATTTAAAAATTAAGGTGGAGAATAATTTTCCACTTCAGATTGGGTATATTACTTATCCATTTACAATGGAATAATCACAGAATAGATCATGGATCTATTTTACGCTTCAAACGCCGCACTAAATTGGAGAGCAAATATCCTGAATACATTCAGGTTATCCATATACAATTTAACATACGTATTTGCGTTAAATTCACAGAAGTGTGCGCGTTCACATTTCCTAACCCTTATCCTAGAAAAGTAACAAATTAAACTATAAGACTAATCCTACACGTAACTTGTGCATTAACTTTACCTCTTACCTCCCTAGTATCTATGCAAGATAAGGTTTTTGACCCCGTGTCTTGTGCATGGGGTAAAAGAACGTGTGGGGTCATTTTATCTATAGTGAAGTAATTAGCATCACACTAGTTATCGCCCATTTAACAGGTATTTCGTTCTACATTATTAAACCTCTTTATACAGAAATTACTGACCTCAGAATTGTTTGCCTGGTGCAATAATATATTTTGAATTGATAATTATATCTTTCTGGGACACTAGGAAATAAACTTCGGCGCAGAGCCAGCAGACGTGGACTCGTTCCTTCGTGGAAACAGGATGAATTTAACTTCGAATCTCTTGATAAAGCTGACAATTTAGAGGCCGGATTATCAACACCACCTACGGCGGTCAGAGGGCAACATCAGAAGTGCAAGTCCCTGTCTAACATGGTTGCTAATATGCCACAGCAGCTGCATGTTGCGCCTAATGATATTAACTGCAACGCGGCTACCAATCTTGGATTTGTCGGAGACACCTCTGAGGCACCGCTTGCAGTGATCCCCGAGTCCAATTACGAGGAGTCAGGAACCCCACCTCAGTTAGTTGAAGCAATGGTTAATTCACAGAACCAGATTCCGCATGTTGTTACTGGAATTTCAGAGAGTATGAAACTACAGAAGTCACTAACAGGAGGAATGGAAGCGAATGAGAGTGAAAATCTGACGAAAACTAGCATTGCTGATAAATGGCTGAAAGTCCCGCAATATGCAGATGGTGTGGGATCAGAGATAAACGCAGCCAATCAAAGGGTCCAGACACCAAATACAAGTTACGTTTCTGCCCACGGTGGATCCGAACAGGACGGAACTACTAGGTCTCCATACTATGCGTCCTGTGGCACCCAGGAGAGACCGAAAGGCTCAAATATGCCGCAAAAAGTTGCTGGAAAAGGGGATGTTCCGTTGTCGTCATTCCCGCGAAAAGAAACCGACGTATCAGATTCGGCAGATTCATATGACTCTATACAAAGGGCCGATTTTGTGTGAACTGAAAAAAAATTAAATTGGCTGTACTGATTTCAACCACAAGATACTTATATCATTGTGTAATGACTTTAAACATATTATTCATAAAGACATGTATTACAAAATGGACACTACAACACAAGAAGATTGGCCTGCGGCGATCGCTAATCTACATTTTCCCTCCATTTTGCTTTTGACTTAACGCAGAATTTCCATGTCATATTAAGTCTGTTATGCATGAAATAGTATTCTATACTCTAAATTCTGCCGAAAAGTAGAAAGCTTTATCGATCATTCTGTCACAGAATGTAACCTTAGTTATGTTGCAATTCTCGATTTAAGATCAAAACGTATGCATTATTTACCACACTGCCGAAACATTTTCAAATTACTTGAACAACAAAAAGACAGCTTAAGGAGTCTGGAAAGGAAAAACACAAGTATAAGATAACTTATGCTTTCCAGTCTCCCATTTTTGCGATTTAATCTTTGTATATCAACCATTAATATTAATCAAATCTTAGGTATTTTCCAATTCTCGGTTAAAAACGTAAAAGGGAACTTTGACAAAATATCAAACTTAAGACAGTAGTCACATGCTAAGAGATGCACTCAACGTGCAAAGCGTTTGGAACTTTCCATGTCCACGGATACGTGCTGTCAAATTTGCCGACGTTATGTGTCTACCTCCTGACTTAAAGCCACATAACGTAAGGCAACTTCAGTCCGTCCGGCAATAAAATCAAATTATTGGTAATCACACTAGTAGTCTATAATTTATCCCTTCGCAGTACATTTTATAGAACACTATGAAGCGTGGGCGCGAAATGGAGCAGGACTCTGCTATTTAGGGAGGATTAAGCGCTATCTATAATCACTAGGCATTATTTATCATCAAAGTTGTCTCAGATAATATTTATTGCGAGTGAACACTGCATAGTCATTAGTGCAGGCATGTGTTTTATTATATGCCATATCAAAGCATGTCCTGAGACGATCGCTAATTTTGTCACTAGTGTCTGGATTGGAAGTCAGTTCGTTTGTTAAGGTTCGAAAAGAGCTTCTTAGATAAGAACAGTTGGGGTCGAGCTCTTGTATAATCACAGGTATATGATACCAAACTACGAGGTTACCATCACGTGGGAAATTGACTTTACTAAAGACTTGGATAGTTTTCCTACAAGCAACTGGCATCTTTGTTAAAAAAATCAAGTCTAATTTCAAGCTATTGCTGGAAACTGAAGTGTATTTATCAACAATAAATGGCTCATTGTCCAGAAAGGAAGTAAGCACAGAAGCTGAGCCTGTCAGAAAAGCAAAAGCACTGCCTAAACAGATTTATGGCTTTTGCTAGTCGGGCGCCTGCACATTAAATGATAGAAATCGTTAATCAAAACAGGAGACCATTCTTTGCTGACCTATTTTAATTAGCTACAAAGTGTCTTAGGCCAGAGGGTGGTTTATTGTTTAAATGTATATCGGTTTGGAAAATTGGCCAAAATATATACCCTACGTCTGCTTCTGTGTTGGTATATTTGTCACCATGCTTTAAATCTCCAGACACGAGTCATCAGTTTGCTTTTAACGGTTTAAAATGACGTGCTTACGGAAGAACAAGTAACGTCGAGTCCTTGTATTATGACAATGGATGATACGAAACTTTGAGGTTACTAGTACGTGAGTAATTCATTTAAAGATAAATTTGGAATATGGATCGTTTTTGTGTGATACTTACCTATCAGCCTGATTTTCATTATGCAGCCAATCTAAAACGTGTGCAATTCACACTAACAAACGATTAAAAGTGTCTGACAGAATGTCTTAAGTAGATTCGACACAAAGTACTACCGCATAGCTTACGAGTGTACGTTGCAATTTATCGATTTCGTGAATAAGGAAAATCTCAAAGAAAGGCGAGTTTTCCAGGTTTTGCGTCCCTTTTTTTTCCTCCTCTCATGGATGGAATAGAAAACTGATGTGACTAGATCGTGAGGTAGGGGTTAACAATCGAATTCCTATCGAAAACGAAACCGAGTTATTATTTTGCTGCAAGCTAAAGGCTTCCATTCAGTTTTGATGGCAAATTGTGCCACCAGGTCGAATAGTACAAATGCGATCATTCCTTTGACATGTACTGGCAGATGTCTTTGATGGAAAACATCTAAACATAATCGTACTTGGTAAGAAATGTTGACAGAATATTTCATGGACGTGAAAACAAACAGGGGCAAGCTAATAAACAAATTTCCTAAGTTTGACCCAGGCATGCCATAAACGATGGTTATTCCGTTGCCTAATTGTCCGAGTTAAGCAAATAAACTAGAAAGAACTGGATTTTATAAAACCTAATCGAATGCACGATGGTTTCTCCAAGTGCTTTTTAATGAAAAAATTAGGAGAACATCCCACAAAAATGTAGTTAATTATGGTTGAGACGAATATACTGTTTCTTTTTCCGCCATTTTCAGGAGAGTAACCGAACGAAATCCCAAAGGGTCACTTAAACTCTGTAGTTGCAATCTTGAACACCGACACCAGCCTTTCGTTTCCTCACCATTAAGGTTCCTTTCAGACATTTTCCTTGTGTATCCGCGACTTCATTGGCTACATTGGTTTAACGAGTAAAAATCTATCGAAGTAAATGCAAGAGCACCATCCTGCTGGCTGAATTAACATAAATAAAATTATAAATTGATATTTTATTTTACCATACGTATAGCTCAGCTACTAGCTAAAAGGCCCAGACACGTTTTTTGCTAGTATTTTGCCACTGCCTAACGCAGCCGTGAGGGGTCCGGCTAATCGGTTTGCCCCTAGCTTTCCCTGTTTGCTTTCTGGTTGACATACCGGTTTTTAAATTTCATGTTTATAATTTCCTTAGAAGCGTTTTTCCATTCTCGGTACATATAGGTACATTTAAGGTCTATAGGTATAGATAGGAATTTTATGCATATATTTGAGTAGAAATTAATTAGACTCTGCGGGATAACCGCGTAATGAACACATGCTGCCAATGCGCAGACAGTCGTATTATATCCTGATGTTAGATTTTACCATCTTATCAGCTCAGCTACTAGCTAAAAGCCCCAGACACATGTGTTTCGGTTTTCTGCCACTGCTTGACACAGCTGCGAGGGGATCGAATTATCAACGGGTCCCCCAGCCTTCCCTGTTTGCTTCATCCTTGATATATAGGTTTTAAAAGTTCAGTCTTTTTTATATCCTTATAAATTGATTTTCGTTCTCTGTGTAGGTCGGTATATTTAAGGTTTATAGGCATAGGCCGAAATTGTTAGTCTATGTGTAGGCTGAAATCCATCAAGCACTGCGTACTATACACGTGCTGCCGACGGACAAACTGTAGTAGTATAAGTTTGTGTCAAGCAGCAGGTATAACACAAAAATTTGATGCATACGTTTGGGCCAATCTTTATCAGCCCTCTCAAGATAACCGCGTGATATGCACATGCAAAAAAATGGGAAGATCTTAGTAGTATATATTGATGTTGTGGTTTGCCCTACCAGTTGCAGAATATTAGCAAAATTTGTGTCAGGGTCTTAAGTTAGTGGTTGGACTGTTAGCGCGGTAAACGACAAAATGAATACTACTACTTATCTGCCCTTTGACAGCATGTGTATATTACGTGTTTACCCCGCAGAGGCTGATGAATTTTGGTCCAACTATATAAATCAAATTTCTATCTGTATCCACAGACCTTACATTTACTGACCTGTACCGAGAACAGAAATAAATCTTTATGGAAATTAAGTAGCTAAACATACAGAACAGTCTGTTGCTAACTTAATTGCAGTCCTTTTGGTTGCTACCTGTTACCAAGTAGAAATAAAACGAGCAGTCCGAGTCAGCTTCAATACGTCCGGTCTCCCTCCAAACTACTGTGCCAGAGAATGCTTGGATAGGTGGCTAAATACCTAATAAACTCGGCCCCAGGCTTAGGATGAACCGAGCCTTTTCATTCTCGCATCCTGCACGTCGGTCTACTGCAGTGAAACAGAGATGAAGTTCACTGTCAGACTCCTTCTCGCCCTACCGCCGTCCTAAGCTCCTGACATAGCCAGAGTGTGAGTATACGCAACTAATTTAACCATCACCCCCTTGAATACTGTTTAAAGCTTGTTTTAACGGTCGCTGCTATGCCCAAAAAATACCCCAAAGGCCTGAGAGTGAATACGCGAGAAATAACATTTGCTGAACCTTGCTTTTTCAGATCCTGCATATGTATTTTCGCAGAAGCAACAACAGGCTAAGCAATTTGTTATTTTATGTCAACAACTAAGACTATAGCAAGGTGATCCGTATAATGATATAATTACGCGGCACCCTATTATTCAATCTTGCCAAATGACGGATCCGGCGTCTGGGATGTCCTAACTCGGGCTCGAGTACAGCTGCAAGTTCGATGGTCAATGGTTAAAATTTCCCGATGAGATAAAAGTCAATCTGAATGTATCAATTTATCATTCGATATATTCCCTTGCGGCCGTCAGATATGTGAGATAAGCTTTGAATGAGAATGAGAGAATTCAGTGATCTGCAAAAACCGATTTATCCTCTACACAGATAGGTTGACGTGAGTTAATCGCTTATTTAGAACAGAGAGCATCTGTTGGGGTGCACATGAGTAATGTAGTTTTGGTTACTCGAACATGGCATCTCCATGCCAGCATGGAGTAGATAGTCGAATATTGGGCATGTGGTTTGTTCATTCAAGGGCTGAGTCAGGGTTATATAAATAACAAAAGACCATGGTTGAAATACTATGCTGATCGACGTGTGTTGGCTAACTTCTTCTCCCCGGCACAGCCTTAAATGAAGTTAGGTCAAGCCGGAACTGGTCGTCAATATTGTGCATGCAAGTTGACAAAGATAAGACGAAATTGGGGATAAGGGAGCTACTCTCACAAGACAAGAAACGAGGCGAATGCGTTGGTACGTCAGCCACCAGTATGTCAAGTCAGTGCATATGATGGTCGGATTGTATGAGAGGACTTTGAGATGG